CGCAAATGATCCAAAATCAGCCTCAAAAGAGCCCAAAAGCAGGATTTACTCAGCAGCAGCATGGTAAAGAGGCACTTTACCCATCTTGTAGCAAAGAGAATTGGGGTACTCCTCCTCCTACACCTCCTATCTTCTCCTAGTCTGTCATTTATCTATAGACATGAAATACAAAAATAAAAAAGACCAAAAAGGTAGGCAACTATGAAAGAAAGAATTTTTCACCACAGACATTACACACTTTGTTGTTATTAGGCCCTGAACATTTGAGAAAAAGCATGCCTTTGTCCAGGTTTCAACACATTCATACATCACTCTTCAACTGCAATGCGAATGAATTCCCAGTGGACTCCTCTTCAAGTTACACTTGTTTGTCTCAGAAATTTTCCAGCAAAACTTGGGCGCTTCTAAGTCGACATTCAGCCTCTTGCTGAAACTGTTTTCATGAGACAAAAAAAGACTAAAAGAATACAAAGAAGACTTTTAAAAACCTGTTAATTTCTTACAAAGGCAAATCACCTCAAGATTTCTGCATCACAGTATCCATTTCACTAAGTCAAACCTTAAGAGCAGGAAAAACACTCACATTTTGAATGTCGTCAAAATTCCCATGCCACCTTTCACTCAAGCACCTTTAGGATTAAAATATAAAATTCAAAAACCAATTGAGACACTTATATTTGCAAGAATAATAAGGAAACTACATTTTAATACTAATCTGGTCAATGCAAAATAGCCTATCTGAAGCAGGCACACTACTTCCCTAAAAGCTTATTTCAATACAATGAAAAATATTGTAAGCTGGAGACCTTCATGTGACCTATCTGGACACAAAGCTATGCTGCAAAATCAAAGTTTCAGCAGTAAACAAAATTTTTGAGGGCCAAACATAAGCAACGAAGATCCAAGATAATTTCTGTACCTAATTAAGTGATTTAACAATATTTCACTCCCACAAATGACATTTTAGTCTTCAGCTAAGAAAGGGTAAAAAATCTAAGAAATATTTAATGTTGCAGTAGACTGCAGCAGCCAGGTGTTTTTCAGCATACTTTACATGAGTATTCTTTCAGCAAGTGAGGAATTAGTTACAGGTAAAATAAATATTTTATCTTGGTAGGTGCCAGGTCTCTCTAGCTGCTTCAATTTGTTTAGTTGTGGCAACTGTATAAAGGATAAAAGCAGCTCAGTGCACTGCTATATTTGAATAGATTCCCAACAATCGCCAACAGAAAATTTCAAAAAGGAGGAAAAAGAAAAAAAACCAACCCAAACCCACAACCAGAAGAAACCATACAAGGATGAAATTGAGTGGAGCAAGTCACATAGCAGGACAACCTCACAACCTCTCCATTTTTATGGCACTGAATTACAAGATGCCAGGAGGACCTGTAATGAAACAGCTACCCTGTACTCATCTCTTAGCTATTATTTTTAAATAAGTTGGAATATAACTTCCAATATTTATTACTCCCTTCTTTTGCTTCCATAGTTCTCCACTGTAACTTCTTTTTGCTGTGGCTTTGACCCATCCTATCACAATACTGGGGTTTTTACCTAATACAGCACTGGTTTACTTCAGTGCATGCTTTTCATTCCTATAGCAACTGGCTATTGCTCTGCTTTAAATGGATCAACCTGACTCTCTTTTCCAGACAAGTTTCTGAAGGTTTTCCAAATACATGCAGGTATTGTGATGGCTCCCTGAAAAATTTTAGTAATGTATTTTCTTCCTCCAAGGACACCTCATCTGTCATGCTATGCAAGCAAGCACACATTTCAGCACATATTTCAGCTCATATCCCTTATAACCTATCTTGACTTCAGAATACAAAAATAGTTATGTGTACACAGAAAATACAGATTGAAGAAGAACTGTTGGTGGAAAAGAGCAATCGGAACACATACATTAGGTACTACTTAATTAGGCCAAACTGGTGGGGGACACAATATTAACAAACAAAAAGGCCATGTCAAAGAAGCATGTACAAATGCAGCTAATTGTGTTCAGATGTCAGGGGGGGATTGAGGGGTGGTGTGCTTGTTTTACAGCTGCCAGAAATTCGCATCACTGAATCCATACTGCAGCAGTAACCAGACAACAACTCAAAAGTCTTCCTGTAGTTGCTCACAACCATCACACCATCCCAGAAACAAGATTCACATGAATATCTAACAATCTCCTGGAAACACTGAACTCATCAATGCATCACTAAATATCTTCCTGAAAAACTGTCTAATAGCAAAGACTCATCCACGTACACTTAGAAATTATAAAGGTAGCTCCATACATGTGAGCTATTTTGTATACAGTTCATATGAAGTTAAGCCACATCCACTAGTGTATAAAATTCCCTAAAAATCTGAAAGCTATGTTATTAATGCATGTATCAGTGAGTGTTCTGAGAAAGTACCTATTTATAGGGAAACATATTCTTTGGCCAAAACAGAGTCCTTGTTTTTATATTTTTTATTTATATGTTCTTTGGCCAATCCAGTCTACTTCTTATATTTTATTTTTTTTTTATTTTAAAGTAAACATTAAACTGTTTTATCCTCTTGGAATAAACAGGAAGGATAGTCTCAGCTTTAAATTTACAGATTTTCAATCAAGCTTTTTTTTTTGCCTGTCCCTTAGACTTCATATAGTTTCACAATTACACTTTACAGATATTGCTATATTGCTCTGCTTTGCTTGCTCTCTTGACAAAGTCTCACTCAAATGCTACAGTCCATCAGTTCTACTGGAAGTAAAGACTTTGTGAAAAACATTTCCAGATGTGTAAAGTAAGCTGGTTCTGCTTACTTATCATTTGAACAACAAAGAACAAAAAATATTCACATTGAAAAATAAGCCTGTAGTTTTATTTCCAGTTTTGGAAGTAAAACACATGACAAATGGTTTAAATTGTGTACCCTGTACACAGGGGCACAAGCAGGTCCAAATCAAAGTCTAAATCCCAACGCTTCATGTCTAACAAAGCTCACAAAGAGGGTATCTACAGCTTTTGCATTTAAGCCCCCTGCCCTAGAGATGACATTCCAATTCTTTTTGTCCGATGTCTCCACTGCGAAATCTCAAGGGACTTAGGGATATCCAAGCCACCGTAACCATTCAGTTCCTTTTTCTAGACAAAGGAATAATAGATCATCTTCAATGTATGTCACTGCTCTGCTTACCAAAGTCAGATAATTTATAACATTGATGCACACCATTGCAAAGGCAGACTTTCAGACCCAATGTTAACTATTGCCTTTTGATATACCACGAAGACTTGTGCCACATATTCCTCCTGGCAGACACAATGCTCACTATCTTTACAGCATAATGCCCACCAACTCAGCAGATTTAGCACACAATCCTGGTCAAAAAACAGGTTGAAAGATCACCCAGTTTATACCACCTTCCTCAAGGTAAGGTATCCTAAGCCAATCCTGCCAGCAATTGCTCCTTCCACTCCTAACTTACTTTCCCCCAACTATTCAGGCATGTGGAAAGAGAAATGCTCATATGCATTCAACTCAACAAGCCTTCAATTTCACACGCAGAAGCAGAGATTACTATCTACTGAGGTTATCAGGACACCATGGCAAGGTCCACCTGAAATGACGGGACTGCAAGAATATGCTCTGAAACACACAGTCTGAGAGAGAAATACAATGCTATTGCAGCAGGTACATACACAGATCATAGAGTTACAGAATAAACTGGGCTGGAAGGGACCCACAAGGATCACTGAGTCCAGCTCCTGGCCCTGCACAGCATCACCCCCAAGAGTCACACCATGTGCCCAAGAGTACTGTCCAAATGCTGCTTGAACCCAGACAGGCTTGCTGCTGTGATGTGTGTTAAAAAGCAAATGTTAATCAAGAAAACCACTCTTTATTCACTATCAACCAGTAAATTTATTGTGGATGCAATGCCTTGTCAAAGAACATATAACTTACCAGCTTCCCTCCCAAATTATCTTGTCATCCTGAACAGGCAGAGTTTCAAGAGACTTCCATTCAAATCAATGAACTGGATTAAATTATTTACTTGTCACATAAATTAAAAAACAAAAGCAAGTTCACTTAACAAAAAAAAGAAAAGCTGGTCATTTAATCAAATCCATACTGTACCTCACATCTATCTAATCAAATACTGTACCACTAATGTAAGGATGTATCACCCTTTAATCATACACCACATCAAATTAAACTGCTTCCCTGACATAACTCTCATTTCACAGTGTGTGTGCTTTCTATATTGACTGCCTTTTACAAATGAAAAAAAGTCCAACACTGGTGGAAGTACACCTTCCTCAATGACTCACTCACAGTATCATGGCAAACTATCAAGCAATTAAATCAGTAAAAATACAGAATTATATAATAATGCAATTTCTTCATTTTGACACACTTCTCATTACTCACAGCCCATTTTTGTCATATAACTCTTCCCCCAGTTTTAAGATATTTTTCACATGTATTGCTCTGCAAAGTCTTACTAGAAAAGGGCTGCTCAGCATCCTAGAGCACTTGAGGACCTCATAAGTACCAGAGTTCTGACTGACAAAACCCACAGGAGTAGAGGGCTCTCCCACATTAGAGGCATGGATAAACTGAATGAGCATAAATGTGCCAGGTTCACCCAGGCCCTCGAGTCCAACGCTGGCCTGAAGCCCTGGCCCCCATACCCAGGTCCTCCCGGGTCCTCTATACTCATTCTCATGTGTATTCATCTGACAGCCCCTCTGCGAACCCCGCAACCAAAGCGCAGCTCTACAAACTCTGCCGGGTTCCCCCTCCCCAAAATCCGTGACCTTTTTCCCCACCTCCTCCAAAACACCAAGCCTGTTCCAGGCACATCACGTCCCCCATCCCCTCTGCCCCCGAGCCCACAGCCACACTCACTATGCAGCGCCCTTGACCCCATCCCACCACCAGGCTCCTCTTCCCCACAGCACCCCCAAAAGCCGGTGTCCGCTCGGGCACCCCCTGCCCAGCGTCCCCGGCCGCACCTCACGGTCCTTGAGGCCCAGCAGCAGCACCTCCTCCATGAGGGTGAGCCGCGTTTCCTTGGAATCGCCCTTCTCGTCGTCGCCGGACTCGTCCCGACGCCCTTCATCCTCGGGGCCGCCGCCGGCGCCCCGCTCCTTATCGGCGGCGGCGGCGCTGCGGGAGGCCTCGGTCCGGCGCTGCACCAGCCCGGAGCTGCGCTGGGTCAGGGAAGTCATGGCGGCGGGGAGCGAGCGGGGCTCGGCGGCGGCTCGGGGAGGGGACGGGCCGGGCTGGAGCCGCTCCGCCCTACGCGCCCCGGCCGGGGGCAGTCATGGGGAGCGGGCCGGTCCCGGGGCGGCCGCGCTGGCGGCGGCGGCGGCTCAATATGGCGGCGCGGGCTGATGTCAGCGGAGGATGTGGCAGCGCCGGGCGGGGCGGCGCCGGAAAGGGACCCGCGGCTGAGGGAGCGCGGCCGTGACCCGGGGCGGGCGCTGCGCTGCCTTCGGGATAGGGGTGCCCTTCCACAAGTGCCTCGTTTGCACAGCAGCAAGAAGGCTTGGTTTCATGCAGTCATTAAAGTTGGAAGAGACCTTCGAGACAATCCAGTACAACCGTCCGCCCAGAACTGCCCCTGTAACCCCTAAACCACATCACCGGCGCCGGATCCAGACGGCCCTTGACCTCCAGGGATAGTGACTCCCGCACGTCCCTGGGCAGCCTGTTCCCATGACTGACCATTCGAGTTCAGCCAGAAAACGGTGTCCGACTGCTGGGCTGGATGTGGCGATGAGCAGCCTGGGCTGCTGGAAGGTGTGTGGCCCAAGGACCAGGGCAGTGACCATGCCCTTGGGTTCGGCACTGGTGAGGCCACAGTGAGCGCTCCTGGGCCCCTCACAAGACAGTGAGGAGTTCAGAGAAGGGTCAGGGAGCTGAGGAAGGATCTGGAGCACAATGCTGATGAGGAGCAGCTGAGGGAGCTGGGGGCGCTTGGCAAAAAAAAATGCTCAAGGGGAGCCTTATCACTCTTTGCAAACTCCCTGAAAGGAGGGTGTAGCCCAGTGGGATTTGGTCTCTTGTCTTGGCAGTACAAGAGGATACAGCCTCAAGCTGTGCCAGAGAAGGTTCAGGCTGAACATCAGGAAGCATGTTTTCACAGAAAGGGTGGTTAGACATTGGACTGGACTGCCCAGGGCGGTGGTGGAGTCACCATCCCTGGAGGTGTCTAAGGAAAGACTGGATGTGGCGCTCATTGCCATGGTCTGGTTGACACGATGGTATTCTGTCACAGGCTGGACTCAAAGATCTCAGAGGTCTTTTCTAGCCTGGTGGATTCTGTGATTCTGTGTCCCTGTCCATGGCAGAGGGTTGGAATGAGATGATCTCTTCCAACCCAAATGCTGTGATTCCATGATTCTATGTATAAATACATGCACCTGTCAGGTGAACTCAGGTGAACCCTCAGCAGTTTTCACCTCAGATTTTGGAGATGGAATCCCTCAGTTCTGCTGTTGATGGGCACCTTTTCAAACCTTGAGCCCTTTTCTATGTGGCACACCAAAAACGCAAAAAAAATTCTTGTCAAATATAAATCCCATGTAAGTTTTCAGGCAGTGTAATTTATTGCAGAATAAAGGTGTTCATGCTGTAGGCAAGGATGGCTTACACTTTTTAGTTCACAGTTAGAATATTACATTTAACCAATATTGTGTTTATGAGATACATAAATACAAAGATATGTAAAATAGGTATTTAATATATAAATAAAATATGTCAATAAATAGATGGTTGGTTTTAATAAGTTGTTTGTTTGGTGTTTTAATTTGTTGGGGGTTTTTTATTTTTTTTTTCCTAACTGGACCCTGTTTACCAAGAGCTCTGAGTCACTCTGGAAGTGACTTTAGCTTTCATTATTTTCCACACCCCCAGTTCTTGCATCCCTTCCTATTGTGACTTGGTGATAATTTGGTGCAGCATAAAAAAGAATAGCAGATGGACAGTCCTGATCCCCAGAGGATCTGGATCACTCATGCAAGTGTTTGCTGCTTGTTCCTCTCCTGGTTTTTGAGGTTTGCTGATTATTCACAGTCCACTCACTGTGCAATGTTCTGATTTTTTTTTATCTTTCTGGGTTTTTTGTTAATTAAAATGTCCTGCTGTACCAGCTCAAATGCCAAACCAAAGCTGAAAGATACAGCATCACTGTTACTTTTATCAAATTAACGTTTGCTCAAGGAAGAGATACGACAATAGCACTACAAGATGTGTTTCCTGGAAATGTAATTTCTGAGTTGTAATTAAACTCAAACATTTATTCATTTAGTACTCTCTGAGCAACTTGGATATTTTCCTGAGGATTACAGTCCAAATGACAGGCATGTAATTAACCTGGGTCATTCCTTTTGCCTTCTTTCAATATAGTCAATGTATTAGCTTTTTTCCCATTCTTTGGAACTCACAAGGTTTATTGAGAGCCATATTTAAAGATCAAAAAGAGGTTCCAAAAAGCTATTTTGAAAACCTGTATGCAAGCTATCCTGGCTTACTGATGCAAGTCACTTAGCTGTAGTGCTACTGTTTAAATTTTTTTAAAAGTACTGTTATTGGAAAGAATTTAATCTTTGTGAAGTCTGATAATATTTACCTATATTCCCAGAATGCAAAGCTATTTGTTGAATACATTTTCTGACAGGAATGTTAACAATTCTTACATTTTACTTTAGTAATATCATTGGTATAATTTGCCTTGTGCCTGCATTCAATTCACATTCAAGCATGACTTACATTTTCTCTAATTCCTACCTTAAAGCAATTTTATTGTCTCCATTTTTATCAATAGAATGCACTGTTTGGGCTGTTACACTTATTTTCACTTTCCCACTAGATTACTGTGGCATTTAAGTACATTTTCATTTTGTCCTGATTGCATTTTAAAGGTTAGCTAGTGGAATGTCCATTATCAGCTCATAATTTTTTTTTGGTCTTTTTTTATCCTTTCCTGAAGGGCCTCAAAGGACTCATCATTACTTCATTTTTGTAAAAATCAGTCTTTTAAAATAGTTGCTTTAATAGTCTTTTAAAAGTTGCTAATTATATTATTGATTTGCCCTCTTTACTGTATTTTGTTACAAAAGCAAACAAACTAGGATCACTAATAGTTTAATCATTTTTGTTGATCAATTTAGTTTTTAATATGATGAGGTGTCCAGTGAAGTTCCTTATACATGAGTCACTTTTTTGACTTAGAAACTGAGGTGTTTGCACAAATTGAATGTTGTCATTTCAAACAAAAGTATTTCTTCATTATTAATTTCAGTTCTGACTCATTACCTGATGGACATAAACTAAGAAGTTCAGTGTGAATCAAATTAGGAACACACATGAATTGAATTTTGAGCCAATTAATTTCTTTTTTTTTCTACACCACTGCAGCACTGATATACAAAACAAAAATCTGAATGAAAAGGACAGCAAACAAGACATGTTTCAGCACGTAATTTTGTTGTTCATCCTTTCTACACAGCAGAGAGCTGGTGTGCCAGAGAGGACCACTCTCTGGATATCACCTAGGAGATCCTTTGTCACGACCTTCATAACTGCAATTTTATTTTACAGTGCCAAGCAGTATTTGAAAAATATTTCTGAGTCCTGCATGGCTTTATCAGGAGCTCAGAAGGCTGTAGCCCCCGACACTGCAACGTGTGGTTGACTGTTGATTGTTTGGGTTGTCACTGGGCACCTTGTTGGGTACAGACTCCTCTTCTTCCCCCATCCCAATGCCAGTGTTATCCAGAGAGCTGAGGCCCAAAATCTTCAAAACACTTCTGTTAAGAAGTAATAATACAAAAGCACAGGCTGTGGTCTATAAGTAGTTTTGTTCATCTTGCAGTGAATTGACCTTGTAATGCATCCTAGTTTATCCTTAAGCGCATCTCTGGCACAGTGCAGTAGTCTTCTGAAGTAGCTAGGATATTTTTAATTGCTGCTAGCCACCTGGGAGGTTGAAATAAAAGCGAGAAGAGCAAAGGCATGGATCTGAGAGTTACTTTCTGTCATGCTAGTTGCAGTTGCCATGATTTGCTTCTCCGTGGGAGCAGGGATTATCTCAGTGATGTCAGCAGGAAAAGTGAGTGGCAAACTGATTGCAAGGGTGTGTTGGGACAGCAGGTCCCAAAAGAGTAACTTTATTTAACACCTGAAGTAGAAGCTCACGTTCTGGTAACTACAAACAAATGTTTCACAACTTGAACATCAGGAGCATGACACAGAGCTGGTTGAAGCAAGAAATTGCAGACACCTCAGCTTAACAGATGTGCCAGGCTCTGGAACTCCAGACACAAAGAGTGAGTCCTACTGCTCCTGTCACAGTACTATCACAAGATATAGGTGGGCAGATTTTCTCCTGAAGAACAGTTGATTAATGGGAGGTGCATGTTCTGAAGCTGACAGCAAGAAAACATGAGTTGTTTTCCAGAAGAAGGCTGCTGACTCTGTTATGGCTCCACCATCCAGCGGTTTCACCCGTCAAGCTTGTTTACATTCCTGCCTGTATCTTCCATTCCCTCCCAGTGAAGGTTTGACACTCCCACTTAGGCCAGTAAGAGCAAGTGTCAGGTGGAGCCATGGCCTGAATCCATGTGAGGATCTGATTTAAAAACAGCAGCCAAGAAAAAGACCTTGTTCCTCTGTATGGTTTCAGGGATCTATTGACAGGGCAGTCTCATATGTAGGCACAGGATCATTGCTGAAGGAGCTCTGTGCTGGAGTACAGGGTATGGAAACCCAAGGACCAGGACCAAATGATGACAGGAATTCCTTAAGGCAAAAAAGTCTTCACTACCATGCTGCTTGAGTGCTAGACTAGACATTAATGCCAGCAAATAATTTGAAACAAACTGTTATGAGATTTGTTCTGTCCAATATTATCAGTGTGATCTCCAGGAACAGGATTTTCACTACCAAGAAGAATCAAGATGCTGGAAGGTACAGAGTGATGAAGGAAGTAGAAGATCGGAGACAGGAGGCGAGACAAGTGAGCGGGCTTGTGTGTGATACTGTATGTGGGAAGAGACCAGAGTCAATGGCCAACTGACCGCAGCAGTTGTGTCTGGTACACAGTGATCATGTAATATTGTCTCTTTCAGTTTCAGCTGCACCTGTTTTACTTCTGCTGTTGTTTTGGTTACTAAATAAATCCTTTGGTAGCCAGTGTGGACCACCTGGGCTTTTCTTCTTGGTTTTAGGAACAGGTTTTCTAACACTAACAGCAAACTATTCTAAGTAAAAAACCACTTACTGATGACTCTTTCTAGCTGTACAACAAACTCTAACATGGCTTTAAATGCCCAACTGTTTGGATGTTGTTTAAATTGTCAATTTATAAAGTC